AACTAAAAAAGTCACTGTCTAAACCGTTAAACATAATTAAATGTCTGTCAAACTATAAGTACAATTGTCACCCATGCACCCTAGTCCAAATAGCAAAAAGTCTCTACCAATATACGGTAACGCCCCAAAGTCTACTTTAAGGCCAATTAAGACTTACATGAACTCAGCTCTGCGCTCTGCGTTAGGAGCATTTTACTCCACACCAACCCACAACCTCTACCTCGAGGCGAATGTATGCCCACTGGAAAACAAAATCCTATTTGCAAAAGCCAAACTTTTCAACACAATAGTACTCTCCCATGACACCCCCCTTAATTCATTAGCGAAAAAAATTATAAATAAACACAATAAAAAATACAAGAACTCAGTGCTCCAAGACTGCATCAACATTTGCTCCAATCTTAACCTAACAATTACATTAGCTAAAAAACTACCTAAAGCCAATCCACCATGGCACATTAATCCCGACACAATAGACACCCACCTTAATAAAAATGAAAAATCAATTACCCCAAAGGAGGTATTTTTAAAAGAATTTTTTGAAACTAAAAACAAATTAAAAGACTATACCCTTATATACACAGACGGATCTTTATCAAAAGAAATAATCGGCTATGCAATAACAACAGAGAGCTCAATCTTAAAACTGGGAGTACTCCCGGAGTACTCTTCAGTGTATACAGCCGAAGCTATAGCAATTCTTGAAGCGATCAAGATATCCTTAAAAGTGAGAGGGAAAACATGCATTTGCACTGATTCCCTATCGGTAGTTGAAGGCATAAAAAACATAGAAAATTCTACACATATGATCTCCCAAATTCGAAGTCTGCTAATAAACAACTTTCCAAAAATTAAAATACGAATTTGCCGATGAAGCTGCTAAAGCAGCCACGATTTCCCCCTTAATAGCATCACCAAACATAAATAAATCAGACATAAACAGATATTTAAAATCAACACTCCTAAATTTTTCTTCACACCTGCTTAATCAAACTTCTACCTGGTACCAAACGTATAATGACGGCCAACTCAATATTGCCCACTACACAAAAAACACTTTCTTTGCCAGGCTGACAAGAACTGAACAAATCAAACTTATACGGTTACGACTTGGTCATACTAAGCTGACCCATGCAAATAGATTCCTTCAACCTCCTTCCAACCAATGCCAATTCTGCAACAACCCTGACACATCAATCAAACATATTTTAAACGAATGCCCATCGTTTCAAAACATTAGACCCTCAACACCGAACTCCGATCTCATTCCTCTATTAACTAACCCAAAACCGGAAAACCTACTTATCATTCTTACTTTCCTTAAAAAAGCCAACTTACTTAATCGCCTTTAAGATATACTTCTTATCAACATATACCTATTATACCTATTATTACTAAAATCAAATGTTAATCTTAAGACTACTATATTACCCATTATATCAATTGTCATTTAATTAAACGTTAAATGCTAAACGTTCTAGATAATAAGATGGAAAATTTATGAAACGTTAATCAGCCGAAAGCCACAGCAGCTATGGCTGTCATCCCCTACGGTAGCTTAATTTTGTAAAATAAGCATACCCTGTACAAATAAATAAATATTTTTAAATCTCATAGTTAACATGATAATTTTGATAAATCCGAAATTTATTATTTTTCAAGATCATTTTTAAAACTTTTATTTAAAAAAAGTGTTCATATGTTGGAATCCCCATATTCCAACAACTTAATACAAAAGATGTTTTATTGGAAATAATTTTTTAATTAATTAAATAACAAAGTTTGGAAACATATTATTTATTTAACTGGTCTGTCATTTGACGTTCTTAAATGTAAATTTTTTTTATAGTATATTTTAAAATATTCTGTTAATAATTGCATTTTTTACTTGCAGAAGAAAACGATGCCTGCGTCGTTAACGAGGACTGTGATGCACTGGGCGCCGGTGCCGAGTGCGTTGGCCTAGTATGCACCTATGTGGACGAGATCACAACGACTCCGGGGACCGGGGAGGGGGAAACGGAGACCACCAATCCGGAGTGGCCGGAGGATGACTCGACCACAGCGGAGGCGATCACCGAGAGCGCCGAGGCAGAACAGGAGTCGACCTTCCGGAGCCGCAGGCAGCTAACCAAGGCCTTTGTCCACGCCCCCCCGCCCACTCACAGCGATGCCGCCGCCCAGGTGTCCTTCGCCCAGCTCACCAATGGCGACACCGAGCCACTCATCTCCCCGCGATCGCACGAGATCGCCGTCCAGACGAGCATCGAAAAGTACGAGCTGCGGGAGGTGGGTCGCAGTGTGCGGAATGTGGCCACCACCACCACCGCCTCCACGAGCACCAGCAGCCGGCGCAACTCCAGCCGGAACCAGAGCCACGCCCTCAGCCAACAACGCCGCCGATTGCCCGCCCTCTTCCGCTTTGATGACGAGGACATCAAGACCTACTCCACGCTGGGATCCAGTCGCGATGACGACGATGTCGATGAGAAGAAGTGTAAGTAGTTTTAAAAGTTTCATTTTTTATTTGAAAAAAAAACGCGAATTCTTCAGAACAATTGGTAATTTGCTTATAACTTCAGTTTGAAAAAGAAAAAAAAACTCCTTAAGGAAGTGTTTTAATTTTAACCTAAACAAAATGGCTCATATTATGTTAAGATCTTATCTTAATCCAAAATATTTATCTTAGTTATAATTAATTATATTTGTTTTTAACACAATTATATAGTTCAAACCCTACTTTAAAAACATTTCGCAAAAATATTTAAATAATTTTTTATTTCTTTTCGATTGGTTTTGTTAACTTTAATTATTAATAATTATATATTAATTTTAATAAACTATATTTTCTTACTCAGATGGCAGCAGCTGTACGGATAATGGAAAGACATGTTCGGGTCTGCCGCACTCGATTTGCACCAAAAATATTTGCCTATGTCGCCAGGGCTATTATGCCCGCAATGGAAAATGTTTTGCAGGTGCGTAAAAGTTTATTTTAATATAAATATAATATTTTAAATAAAAATTTATTTTGTAGAACTTGGAGAAATCGCTGAGAGCACGGACGAGTGCGAGTATGAGTTCGACGAGCTGTCGAAAACTTGCGTATGCCAAAAGAACTATTTTTACGAGCGGGATCTGCGCAACTGCAGGAAACGTGAGTGGATCTTTTGTAATTTTCTATAAATATATTTTAATATATTATTATTCCCCAAAACAGCCATCCAATATCACTTGTCCTGCACATCGAACAGCCAATGCAGTCCGTTCGGAGCCTCCTATTGCCACCCGGAGATCCCGAGGAGGTGCACCTGCGAGGAGTACGCCCTGTACGATGCCATCAAGCAGCTCTGCGAATATAAACAGGGCCTGGGAGCCGAGTGCGAGTCGAATGATGCCTGCCCCGTGGATCACTCCGTCTGCTCCAACCGCCTGTGCGTGTGTGCGGATCACTACTTTGAAAAGGACGAGGTCTGTCTGCGGGGAATCGGGGCCGACTGCTCGGTGGAGGATGACTGCATAGCTGAGAACACCACCTGCCAGGAGAAGGACGAGGAGGACCAGTCGCGCACCTGCCAGTGCCGAAAGGGATATGTGCACTTCAAGGATCAGTGCCTCAAGGAAGGTTCGTATTTTCTGAAATATTTGTGGGAAGCTAGCAAATAGAAAACATTTTAAAGAACTAAGCTAATTCATTATTCCAAAGTCGATTTAAATATAAATAACTATTATTCTTTATTCGGATATTATTTTCTAAAACATTTTGCAAAAAAAAGGAAAATAGAAATATTTTAATAATTGCTTTCTTAGTTCCTTAGTTTATGATCTATATATGCTGTATACTATATACTAAACCTATTTTTTAAATAGCTGAGGAGCTAGAGGACGAGTGCGTCGAGGACGAGCAGTGCAAACCCCTCCTGGCCAGTTGCAATTCGGAGGGGAAGTGCGGCTGCACCGATGAGCAGCACGAGAAGAACGGTGTCTGCGAGACGAAGCGAGGTAAATGATTCCTTTTTGAATTAACGAAGTATTTTACTAAAATATTATTTTTTAATCCCACAGTTCTTGGGGAATCGTGCACGAAGGCCACCGAGTGCTTTATAGAGAAGGATCCCGAGAATGTGGAGTGCCGCAACTCAGTGTGTCAATGCAAAATCGGTTATTCGGCAAACTCCGACCAAAAGCAGTGCATTCGCGTGATGCCCAATAAGAAAAGTAAGTTTCCATAAATTTAAATAGAAATATATAGACAAGAGAAATAAATTCTTTCTAGTTTAAAGAAAAACTGTTTAATGTTAAAATTTATGCGGAAACAATAATTATTTTTAATTTAAAGAAAGAAATAATATTCGACCAATCGTTACTAAACTCTTCTTTATATTTCCCTCTATCCATAGATTCTTCCGGTAGACCCAGTGCTCTCAAAATCATCACCTTCATGCTGATTGGCTCCGCTTTCCTGATCACCAGTGCGGCTATAAAGCAGGCCTACTACTAAAAGCAAACCCAACCCCTTTACATGCGTTGTGAGGAATGGCAAGGATAATTGGATGAGGGGCAGCAGGCCAAGGACCCCAAGGATCGGGGAAAATCACCTTGGGTGGACTGGAGTGGCCAGTATTAGCCAAGTTAGTGGCATGGATCCATGGTCCATGAATAGAAATCAAGTAGTCCGTAAGCTGATATTTAGGAGTCGAAGCAATATTTGGAGAAGGGTCCTCAAAGGGACATTCGCTTATCTAATACGACTAACCATAACGACAAATTATCTCTAAGTTTGAAGTTAAACTGCTTGTTGATAGGCTAAGCGAACAGTTTTTAACCAAATTGTAATATACATCATAATAAACTAAGGCCAACGAAGAGTTGTATCAATCCAGAATCTTGCGTGTATTTATTTTAAGCCAAAAGGCTTTTGGTTGGAATAATATTTATTTTTTCATAATTTTTTCAACGCAGACAGCCTTGAAAATTGTATCTGTATTTTTCTTATTTAAGCACTAATTTCAAATTCTAGTAAAGCTAAAAAGCCAAAATAAATATGGAACCTTATGTAAATGGATATTTTAGTTATCTGATGGAAAATCAGCTTCAATGTGAGGACATTCCGATGAGGGAAGCACTACGTCAGGGAGCAGAGGAGTGGAATGCACTAAGCCCAAGTGAAAGGACCAAGTATAGGGGAAAGGTGAGTTGGAAAACTTATATTATACACCTATTTTATTATCTCTAAAAAACCTAATTCCTGCAGAACAAAAGTCGTCATCTGCATAAATGCTCAAATTGTCGTCATAAGCGTCAGCCAGAGAAACAAAAAAGCTTAAAGCGATGTCCAAAGAGCCCGACTCTAAGCTATAGTCATCGATCCAGGATGCAACGTCCTTGCAGCCCAAGGAGCTTTAGAAATAAATATTGTCCAAGAAAGTGCAGTTCTCGGCGCACAAGACGGGTATGCTTACTGAAGAGAACAACTAAAGTGGTAAGTCCCAACATTTTATTTAGTTATTTATTTGGTTGTATCCTAGCCAGGGACCGTAACAGTTATAAGTTTTACTTTAAAAGTCATCGATTAATCGTTATTCAGCACCTTTTATTTATAAGTCATGACGTAACTGTTATTTCAGACTTTTAAAATAAAAGTCAGAAAATAACAGTTATTTTTTGACCGAAAAAATAAAAGTCCTCCGTAACTTTTATTCATGACTTTTATAATAAAAGTCTAAAAATAACTGTTATTTTTAGACTGAAAAAATAAAAGTCAAGATAACTCTTACGAAAAGACTTATAGTAAAAAAATCATTAAATAACTTTTATTTGGTGATCGAAAATATATAAGTCTTAAATATCTGTTGCTCAATTGGAATTGGAATTTTAAAGGTTGCAATTTGTACTTATACACATGAATTCTTCAACATAATAAGACCTCGAATTCTTCAGACCTAGAGGAACCATTAATGACCATTGTAACAATTTTTAAAGTTCTAACCAATACAGCCATTCATGAATTCTTCAACATAATAAGACCGCGAATTCTTCAGACCTAGAGGAACCATTAATGACCATTGTAACAATTTTTAAAGTTCTGGCCAATACAGCCATTCATGAATTCTTCAACATAATAAGACCGCGAATTCTTCAGACCTAGAGGAACCATTAATGACCATGGTAACAATTTTTAAAGTTCTAACCAATACAGCCATTCATGATGTCATAAACTCATATAGCGAGCCTTGATAATTACTAGCGCGACATTGAATAATATGCGTATACATAATCGAGTATTCATATGTTATTCAAATATTTTATTGTCAAAGGTTTTGTTGTACATCGTTACATTATTAGTTGAGTTCAACATAAAAGGTTGTCACAAATTTGTACTAAGAATGGGTCGTAAGAAAAACTTAATTCTTCGAAATTTTTTTTTTAAAAACGTGTCGGTATGCAAAATTTGCCACAAAACTTTTTTCGGAAATTTTGTCACGAACTTAAGACGCCATCTGGAGTCAGTTCATGCAGACAGCGTACCTGACGAAATGGAAAAAAAATGATGAAAGCCCCGAAAAAAAAAAATTGTTCCGTTTGTTTCGCGGCGAAAGACGTAAAGGACGCTTGCGTAGAGCTAGTAACGTCCGAAAAAGTACCATTTTCTCTATTTGACTCGAAAGCATTTCAATTCCTTACGGATCAAATTTTTATGGGCGTGAACATCCCCAAAATTTCTTCGCGAAATATAATAGAGTTGGTATCTCACAAATACGACAGCATTAAAAATAAAATGATTTCGGGCCTGAAAAATCGGATGGTGTCCCTAAAAATTGATGGAGCTACCAGGTTAAATCGAAGTATTCTTGGCGTAAACTTGCAGTACTATAATGGAAGCAAAATTGTAATTCATACTCTTGCAATAATAGAGTTAAATGTGCGATCAACAGCGGAGAATATTAGTGCCACAGTGTCCGACATTTTAAAACAGTTTGCGATTCGTAAAAGCCAAGTTTTCTCAATTACGACTGACAATGGACGCAACATGGTTAAATCAGTGGAGCTGTTGAATACTTGCGAAGATAATGAAGGTGACATTGCTTCCCGGGATGATGAAATGGACATACTTGAAGGAGTTTCAATAGACTCTGTAAAGTCCGTAAAGTGTGCAGCACACACTCTCCAGTTAGCAGTGAAGGACTTCATGGACCAACAATCATGCCAAATAATTGATAATGCCAGGACATTAGTAAAAAAATTAAGAACCCCTTCTTACAGGTAACTAAAAATCAAATTCTTTACATTATTTAAAGATAATTTTTAAATTTGATAATTACAGGAACCTGCTAATGAATGGATCCTTTACGCAACCTCCTATGGACGTGTCAACTAGGTGGAACTCCACATACTCGATGCTGAAACAGCTTCTAAATCTAAGGGAGCTTTGTGAGATGCATGTACCTACCCCATTGGCGAACGAGGACTGGGACTATTTGAAGACCTTGGTAGCAACACTTAAGCCCGCCTACATAGCCACAAAAAAACTGCAAAGCAGCCAGCTATACATGGCAGACTTCAACAAGCTGTGGATTGAACTCAAGCTCAATATTAAACTTATGAAAAATAGTTGCAGCGATCTCTTAGCCGAGTGCCTCGAAAAAAGAGATGAAATTTTGTTAAACAATTCTGTGGTTCTCTGTAGCCTATTCCTTGACCCTAGACTTCGGCGAGTTCTAGGACAGAATGAAGCTAACCGAATATCCGCAGTACGTCATTTAAAGGACCTCATGCAGCAAATATTTGCTGTTAAAAATTTTGTATGTAAACATGAAAAGATTACAAAACGTTGTTAACAAAATTTTACAACTTTTATAGGTAAATTCACCAACCAAAAGTTCATCATCATCATCATCATCATTATCATCGTCATCATCATCATCATTATCATCATCATCATTATCATCATCATCATCATTGCTAAATGAATTTTTAAATTCAATACCTAGCGAATCTAATGAAGAGGATAGTAGTGACGAAGTAGGAGCCAAACTCAGAGAAGCTTATTGGGAAATTGAAAGCTACTACCCTAAGCCAATCGATACCACTATTGACGTAATGGAATATTGGGAGAAGGTTAAATTTAAATTGCCATATTTATATCAACTGGCTAGGGTCGTGCATTCAGTGCCGGCCACACAAGTGAGCGTGGAGCGCTCGTTTTCGGCACTGAAACTAGTTTTAAGCGACTTAAGAAGCAACATAAGCCCTGAGTCGCTTGAAAAAATATTATTTGTAAAACTCAACAACAAATTCAATGAAATATAAATTTTATATTATAAAAATACGTCAAATGCATTTTTAATATTGAACATATTCGGTAGCACTGCGGGGTTCGATTGGTGAAAAAGTTTTACTATGTAAGAGCCTATGGTTTCTCTAGGTCTGAAGATTTCGCGGTCTTATTATGCTTATGACTTTATGAATGGCTGTATTGGTCAGAACTTTAAAAATTGTTACCATGGTCATTAATGGTTCCTCTAGGTCTGAAGAATTCGCGGTCTTATTATGTTGAAGAATTCATGAATGGCTGTATTGGTTAGAACTTTAAAAATTGTTACCATGGTCATTAATGGTTTCTCTAGGTCTGAAGAATTCGCGGTCTTATTATGTTGAAGAATTCATGTGTATAAGTACAAATTGCAACCTTTAAAATTCCAATTCCAATTGAGCAACAGATATTTAAGACTTATATATTTTCGATCACCAAATAAAAGTTATTTAATGATTTTTTTACTATAAGTCTTTTCGTAAGAGTTATCTTGACTTTTATTTTTTCAGTCTAAAAATAACAGTTATTTTTAGACTTTTATTATAAAAGTCATGAATAAAAGTTACGGAGGACTTTTATTTTTTCGGTCAAAAAATAACTGTTATTCTCTGACTTTTATTTTAAAAGTCTGAAATAACAGTTACTTCATGACCAATTTCAAAAAAGTTACAAAAATTTAGGTCATTGCGGATCTGAATAGACCGCATTAGATTGGTTATGTGACTTTTTTCTCTGATTTTTAGTGGGATCCGAAGTGCAAGATTTTTTTGATTAAAAATAATAAAATAACTGTTATTTTCGGTCCCTGATCCTAGCGTTACAAGTTTAATGAATTAATCCGCTAGTCATCCAGTTATCCTTATATTTATTTTGAATACATAAACTTACATGTGTAAAACACATGCAAAACAACAAATATCATTTAAACAAAAGCCAGAATTTGGGTGAGGGGAGTTTTCGGTACTGAATTTACTTCTGAAAACCATTTTTTGCAACAAAAACCTCCATGCTACGCACCTGTCTTAAACTTGTAATCACGTCTGTTTTTTTTAATTACTTACTACTTACTTTACCACTAAATTTTTACTTTCATGAAGATTTTTTCAGGATTTTTTGGTATTGTTTATAGTTATTATCATATCTTGATAGCTAGATAGGGTTACCTTGCACTTGTGGCAGTTGGTTTTAAAATTCTATTTGCAACAAAAGATATGATTAACTTTGGCTATCAATTTTTCCCTGTTATCAACTCTGTTTCCTTTTTTTTCATTTTTATAACGTCTGATGTGTTATTTTATTTGTCTTATCAGCGAAGCTTTTAAAATTATCAACAATCATTTTGAACAGATCTTGTTTTTATGGTTTCTTTGATGGTTCACTTTTTTGTTTTCGTTTTCATTCGGTTATCATGGAATCGACGACACCTGAATCGCCCGATTTCTTTATCAAACTTCAGGTGGCTTAATGTGTCCAATTAGTAGCCAGTATTGATTTATAGTCCATAAAAATATCGTTTTTTGATAATTTGAAAAAGTGTTACCTTTTTCTAGTCATATTGGAATATTTAGTCAAAAAGTTTTGGATTTTTAAAGGTCCAGTAAATCGTTTGCACTGAGATCCAAGACACTCAAGACAACGGTGTCAAATTATTCTGGGAGAAATTTCGAAGTACAAATAGGTGAAGTCGATTTTTTTGTGAGACAATTGCTGAATTGAATTGCCTGTAAATTTCAAGTCTCAAAATGTCCCACACTTGCCCGGTCCATAATAAGGACTCCAATGCTTTAGTCATGTAAGTTTTGAAAGGATCTCCCTTTAAAGATAAAATAAACAGATTTTGAAACCGCAAGCAAATTGAAGATATCCACTAGTTAGATCAATAAATAAATTCCTACTGTCTTATTAATTTTTTAAAAAAATTTTTTAATGGTAATTACACACGTTTTTTGTAATATTACTTAAAAAAAATGTTGTGTAACAATGTGGTTTGCACCCAGCGCCAAATCGGCTAATTCGGACGACACCAAGATCGCGATGTGCGCCTCGTTGGAGTTGGACAACTGCCGGGCGGAGAACTCGCAGCTCAAGAAGAAGTTGATCGAGTACGAGGCCACGATCAGGAGCCTCGAGCAGCTGGTGGCCACCATTGCCGAGAAGCAGCACCAGATCCTCAGCGAGGTGGTGGAGCTGCGCAAGGAGAGTCGTGCCGCATCGATGGAACTCACTCCCCAGGAGGACACGTCAGGCAACTCGTCCGTGATCCTGCAGAATGACGACGGCGATGAGGATGGCTACAGGCCGGATTCGGAATCGGAGGCCAACGATACACAGTCTCCGGTTCTTTCTGCCCACTCCTCGACGGCATCGCTGGTTTCTTTATGCTTTTCATCGACCAGCTCACTGGGAACGTCCTTGGTCGATGGTAGCTCGGATTCCGAGTATGAGAGGAATCTATATAACGAATTGGAATTGGAGTGCTATCCCGACCACGAGTCGGATCAATCGGAGGAGAATGGGGAAGCCGAACCGCTTCCAAACACACCAACTCCCGAAATTCTGCAGCAACAAGATTACACCTCTGAGTCCGATACCGAACCATGAGCTCACTGCTGATATAATATTTACTGAAATGAAAAATAAATAAACGTTGTGTTGAAAAAAAGTTAAGCTTATTGTATTTATTTTTAGAGAACTATTAAGATGTTTAAAACGGTTTCTTAAGTTTTATATTAGTTTACAGATAACCTCTTATCAATATAAATATGAAATAATATTATATTATTAAATGATATAATAAAATACCAAATTTATATGTTCAGCTGATGAGAAATAAGCTGTAATCTTTATTCATATCGAAATGACATGAGCCACTTTATCTTTAAATTTTTTTCTGTGTTCTTATATGAAACAATTACTTGTTTATTCTCACCACACTTCGCATGACAACAAATTGTTTATTCGTACAGTTTTACATTTCTTGTCCCAATTCTAAAAATGTCTTAAAAATAGTTAACTCTAATATCTTGGATATTTTCATTGTACTTGAGGGACTTCAGTGCCGATCCTTCAGTTGAACCCAGAAATCGGGCGGCGAGATAATCAGACCGTTGAGGTTCTGGGAGAGATCAGGCAGTTTATCTTTGGGGCCCAGGACGAAGTCAAAGTGCTGGCACATGGTCGCTGTCACCAGAAAGAGCATGTTACGGGCGAAAGTCTCACCGGCGCACAGCCTTTTTCCCGCTCCGAAGGGCAGAGAAACGTCCAGCTTCAAGCAGAGTTTGCCCTCCGAATCGAGGAACCGCTCCGGGCGGAATTGCTCCGGATCCGACCAGACACGAGAGTCCGAGTGGAAGGCATACAGGCTGGGCACCACAATGGTATCCTAAGGAAAAAGTTATCAGAACTATATAAAATAATAGTGTTTAAATTAGGATACCTTCGGTATCCGGTAGCCCAGCAACTCGGTGTCCTCCAGAGCTTTGTGCGGCACATCGGAGGGAACCAGTGTTTCAATGCGCAGACCCTCGCGAACTGTGGCCTCCGTAAAAGGCAGATTCTTGCGGTCCTCCAGAGTGGGCAGTCTTCCGCATCCCACCACCTCGTCGATTTCCCGCTGCATTCGCCGCAAAACATCGGGATAAAGCATGAGATACTGAACGAGCAGCGCCAACTGAACACCGATGGCAGTGAAGGCCGGAAAGGAAAAGTCCACCAGGCCCATTATGAGCTGATCCCTGTTGAAACCATAGCCTGGAGATCGGCGCATTTCCGCTATATAGACATCCATAAAGTTTCGCTCGACACCCTCCTCGTAGCTATCCAAATATCGATCCACAAAGTCGGCAAAGAATTGGCGCACAAACAGATTGGATTCGTTTAGCTTGTTGTAGCCACTCCATTCGGGCCAAAAGTGGCGAATCCAAGGCATTATGCTCAACATCCGGCCATAGTCGTCCGCATTCCTCTGGAACTGCATGCCCATTTGGCAGAGCTTCACCAATCTGGCCATTTCCTCGCGACTCTGGCACTCATTGTACACAATGTGAAAGTGGCAGTTGGCCGAGAATGGATTGAAGAGCAGCGGCAGAAGCACGCGGTATCCGCCAGGTTTCACCATCTCGTGCTCATGCGGATACTTTGGTCCATTGCGGATCAGGTCGAGCATGTCCGTCAACTGCTCCTGGATGACCAATTCGAGTTGTTCGAATCGTCGCCCGAAACCAAAGTCTCGTAAATAGCGCAGGATAAAGCGACGCTGCTCTTTCCAAAGGGGGCCATCCTGAAAGAAGATTCCTGTAGAGGGGAATATATTATATTAAATTTAATATTATTAACTATTAAAACCCCTTCGACTTATCGGTCATGGTGGCGGTTGATAGATTAAGTTCTTATAACATACGGTTGTTAGAAAAAGTATTGTGGCCTCGATAAAATTCTGTAAATACCGTTTTGAAAAGTATTTTTATAAAAAAAAAACATTTTAAATATTTAAAAAAACGTTATTAAAACTTCTGAAATATTTAAAAACAAAATAAAACAAAATTATGCCCAAATTAGGCTCTCTATAAATAAATAAATCACATTTAAAAGTGTAAAAAACATTATTTATCGAAGAAAATATATAAATAATAATAAAATAATTATATTTTTTAAATAAAAGTGCGAAAAACATTATTTATCGGAGAATAGTAAATTGAATCTTTAGTTTTAAAATAACTCAACTAAAATATAAGATAAGAGGAATCTATAAAATACCATAGACCACTCAAACGAACAATTTTACTTTCTTCGGCTAAAGTGCACTCAGTGTTAATCGGTTTTAAGCGATAAGAGTGTTTTGTTCGCCTGATGCGACAATTAATTCACGATTGACCCCGATATTTTCAACAACGCCATTATAAGTGTCCATTATCAATGGCCGATATGATTAGACTCACCTCGTACATCTTGGCCGGGATCTCGCATAGCGGCCACGAAAAGTTTGGGACGTCCATCGAAGACCTTGTTGTTAAGGATCTCGCGGACTCCCTCCGAATTATGGACGACGGCCACCGGGAAAGGACCCACATACAGCCCGATTATATCCGATTTATACCACCGACTGAGGGTCAAAGCAGCCTTATGCAAATACTTGAAGTTGATGATCAGCATAAAGAGATAGCTTCCGAACATCGGTATCCTTGGAGGACCTGTGAATAATCCAGTTAGCCTTTGGACTCCTTGGGAACGATTCCAAGCGAAAACGAACCGGGAGGAAAACCGCAGGGTCGACCGACTGCATATCGATACGAAAGGAAAAGGAACACTGCGGTGCAGACCGCCAGGAGAATTGCCGTGATCATCTTAGAGTCCGGACATCAACTGAATCCGTAGCTGCCGTGCAGCCGCGTTTTTGTAGCCACGATAAGTCACTCACACTTTCGACGGACAATAGCAATTAAGCAACGCCAATCTATATGGATCGGCGTTTATTCATAGATCGGTTAGCCGGTGGAACTCTGTCTCGCTTATGACTTTTGTGATTTCTCGATTAACAGCGGCCGCCACGACAAAAGCTCAAAAAATCAAATCTATAAAAACAATTACTTTCTTCACCTTTTTTCGCTCATAGCAAGGAATTTTTTGTAAGGTCTCTTGTGGGTTGCATTATCCTTGGGATATAACTTAATCCTGCTAAATAATTGTCCACTTTTGGAAAATATATGAGCAGACTAAAATACCCAGATACTAACTACCAAATAATCACTGGTTCATTGGACCTAGAAATAAGCAAGTAAATTGACAATATGATTGATTAATTAAATTAAATATAGAACGATACAAAAAATGTAAAACTTGCTTAGCAAGTATTTCTTCTGAGCACTTAAAAATCAATCCATCAATTCGACAATTTTTATATACTATACATATTTATGGGATCAAAACCATTCGAATTATAACGGCATGTAGAAAATTAACAAAATGTTAAGATATTTTTTAGTGTCTTAATGTTCAAAATATATTTATTGGCTATACTTGGGTGTAAGTGATATTATTTCGTTGTAAGCGAATTTGTACCTCGTTCGCTCAATAAACTGGTTTGGAATTTGAATATTTTTAAGCGCCGTTGGAGAGATTAGAGATATCTCCTATTGGCTTGACCTGATGGCGACGTCTCCTAAAATATCATATTAAGCTTCCGGTAAATTGAAGACAAATATTAAAAATTTAAAGGTTATTTAAAAAAAAAACGATCAAAAAACATATAGGAAAAACGCAACCACTGAAAAGATAAAATTATTTTCAAGGAAAAAATATATAATTTTTTTTGATACTTCATTTTAAGTAATTTGTAGTCAAAATTAAATATCTTAAACGGGAACTTTAGTAAATATATTTATTAACGCTTCTTATCGTAGAATACGTGCAAAATAATTACGAATGATATTAAAAAATTACAAGCTTTACTTAGCACGCTAAAAATAACTGCAGTAATTCGGATAAAACCCCTTAAACTTAAATAGCAATTAGAATTAACTGTGCTATTATTTTGTCGCCAACTATTTAAAGTGCTCTAATGGCAATGGGGCTTCACCAGGCCAGGCCAGCCGGCTAATCAAATGTGACTCGTCGGCGAGGTGAGATCAATCTCAATTATGGACTTGCCCTCGGCCGCCTCCTTGGGTGGCGTAGTAGGAGTAGTAGGCGATTCCATAGACATTTCCGTGGCCAGCGAGACGAGCTGTCGCCACTGGAATACGTCGATATTAAGGCTTTGAAGGTGCTGACAAAGTGACTCCAGTCCCTCCACATCGGTGGCCTTCAGATCAAAGGGTATCAACTGGTCGCCTTTGTCGTCACGCAGCACAGTGACCCCTTTCACACGTGCCGGCAACGCGTCGTGATTTAAATAGGTCCCTGTTGTCTTCGACAGCGTGTGAATGCTATAAAATTAAACAAAAGAACATGTATTGCTTTCATTATTACATTATATGCTTGATAATTTTTCGAATTCAGAACAATTACGCATGTGAAGTTGAGCAAATATTTGATAGGTTTGAGTTTGTTTATAATACTAAACTGGGCTTCGACCTGAATACCTAAATTAATTCTTCAGTCGTTATCGACATTTCTTATAATAGTCAATGGGTTAAAATATATTAATAGAAAATCATAAATGATCTTACAAATAATTGTATTAAAATTGGCATTACACTTTTATTTAATATGATTTTTAAGGCACACATTTTAAATATAATTTTGAAAAATATATGTAAAAAAATATTATTTTTTTAGGGTTTATATAAATTATTGAAATTGGGGCCTAAAGATTAATTGATTTTCTTAAAATCTCATTTGGATAAATAGGAATCTATAGTTTGATAAAAAATAAAAAAGTAAGGTAATACAAAAAATCCCATAAGCTGACCTTTCCATGGCTTCGTTTCTGTGCTGCCTGGCCAACATATTGAGCTGTTTTATCTGATCCCTCATCACGAGATTCCTCTGTTTGGTGGCCTCCAGTTCTTGAGTCAGTTCCTCCATAAAGTCAGCTCGCTTCTCCAACTCCCCGCAGCGCAGCATTTTAACTTTCTGTACTTTTGCCGCCTTTTGGCGATGGCGAACTACTTCCTCCTTGAGATCCACTAAGATATTCATAGAAAATCTATTAATTAAAACCATAAAATGGAACAACATTATTACAACTCACACAGATTGCTGTTGAATTTGGAGATTTTCTTGATGACACTCGCCTCACGCGCCTCCATGCGTATTTGTTTGTCGTACAAAGCCCTTATGCGCTTTTCGTAGGACGATTCAATCACGGTTATAGCCATATTTTGATTTATTTATTTAACTTAGTATATTCTTTAAAAATTCAGCGCCTTTTTGCTTTCCAGACGCTTGTTTTTTTATTGCCTTTCCAGTAGAGATAACACTTTAGCTAGGGATGGCATTTCCATGCCTCGGTAGAGCTGCCAGACCTGTAAAAAAGGTTTTGGTTTACATATCGATAGTTAACAACGGTTTATTGTTTTAAAAGTTGCATCTCGGAGAGCGAAATTTTGGAAATATAGAAATATAGTTTAGTAATTAAAAAAGATTTGTTAGAAACCAAAAATGAGGGTCCCCTCTGACGGCAGTAAATGGTTAACACACGTTGATAGATAAACATGGCCTCTCTAAACACATTTGACGCCAATAAAATGTCGCATAAAACAGTAAAATATTTAAAATCAGTAAACGGTTCTATTTTTTTGTAAATTCTAAATAAATTTTAAAAACGACATTCACAAATGTCAAAAAATAAGTCACGATAAAAATATTTACTTGGTTGTCGATATATCGATATAATAAAACTTGGCACATCCCTATGAGCCGGCAAGCAAAAAAAATTGCAAGTCAAATTGTCAGAGCGAAAAACAACTAATAAGCCGCATTTTCTGCAACAATTTGTGCAATTTCTAGAGTAATTAATTAATGCGTTTGCTGTTTGGTGTAAAGGCAATTCGCTCCCATCTCGCTCGCACTTACAGCAGCAGCCGCTTTGGAAAGGTAAGCAAACAATCAGGTGCAAATTGTGCAAAAAACATTTCGCAAAAGAGAAAAACTCGAACAAAGGTTCTATAAATAGAGCATATGGAATTTGCATAATGCCTCAAGCCAATATCTAGTTCTTTTGTTTTTATTACTGGTTGCAATGGATGGATAAGATATTTCTCCACTTATTTTTATGGAAACCCCGCGAATCGGTCAACGACCCACTTGTTGTTCTTGTCGCGCCGAATTCAAGGTCACGCTGACATTTATAATTTTTAATTGGTGCAATATCTTGATTTCAAAAAAATTAAAGTTTATTATGCATCATATAGACGGTTGGTAGCTTCTTTTTTAGTACTTTTCCACAAAAGATTGTTTTTTTAATTGCAAAAAAATGTTGTCTTTAGTGTTTATCGTGCCTAGAAAATAAAATATCATTATAAAATGTTATTAAAAATATTAAGAAATTTCTTATATAGAAACCTATACGGATACTATACTTAAAATGAAATTATTTTCGAAATTAATTTTTTTGGATATTAATTTATACAATAAAAATATTTACCGTTTAAAAAATAAAATTTTTTAATACATTTTATCTGTGTTGTTGTTTTATGTAGCAATTAAAATTTAAATTGCAGAAATTTTTAACAGTTCAGAACGGTGTTTTTGTTATTATTTACAAATAACAAGTAATAACAAGTGCCAAGTTCCATTACTTTAGAAAGGGTAAATATTATATTCCTCAATGAAAATTCCCTTGCAAGCTAACACTTCAATTGTAAATGGTCAGTAAAGCTTCAGTAGCCCAGATGGACCCACCCTTAACCCGAAACCCACTTCTTATCTCGCCTCCTCAGCTCTCGTGATTTATGGGTGGCTGCATCAATTGACCGCCTCTGTGTGGTGCAAAGTAGTCGACTGATAAGCAAGTGGAGCACTCAGAGTGGTAATCGCCAGATTAGCAGCGATAAGATAGTACCAATGGCTTATCGCTGGGATTGGACTAACATTCCCAGGTCTCGAAATCCGAATCTTTACTCATTCGCAAAACATCTTCTCTTCTAGATGGCCACGGACGTCAAGTTCAACGACACGCTGAGCTGCAGCGATCCGCAGTCGCATCCGGTCCTGATCATCGGCCAGCTGCGCCATCTGAATCTGCTGAAGTTCAGCCATCTGGAGAGCAAACTCAGTCCACGAGTCACCGAGGAGACCTTCCTGAATGCCGTCGCCTGTCTGCATCCGGCGCCCACCGATAAGGTTTCCCTCTATCTCGATGTGGCCACAGTTGCTGCCCTTCCATTAAAGGCATCTCGGCATAATACCGCCTCCCGGGCTCATGCCATCACCCGGCTGGTGAAGAACCATGTGCTGAACGTCTCCGAGGAGAGCGTGGTGCTGGTCTGCGAGCGGGAGAATCTATTCGCCAGCGCCTGTGCGGTGGTCCGGGCTTTTCCCCTCTATTCCCGCAAAACGGGCAATCTACTGGCTGCCAGCCAATCCAAGTCACAATTTGGTGGTGGTGACCAAGGCGATGGAAGCAAGGATGCAGGACGTAACGTGGTGAACGTTGAGTTTGTGCTGATCAACAAAGAGGGCGGCGTGGAGAGCGAACCGCTGACGGAAGACGAGCTAAATTGCCTGAATGAAACCACGCGGGCCATCCGACTGACTGCTCGCATTGTGGACATGCCCTGCAACGAGATGAACGTGGATCACTTCATCCAGGCCATCGAGGACGTGGGCAGGGAGCTGTGCATCACGCCGCAAGTAATCCGCGGCGAGGAGCTGCGCGAGCGCGGCTTTGGCGGCATCTATGGCGTCGGAAAGGCAGCGGCGGTGCCACCTGCCCTTGTGGTGCTCTCCCACGAGCCACGTGGGGCCCAGGAGACCATCGCCCTGGTCGGCAAGGGTATCGTCTATGACACTGGCGGCCTGAGCATCAAGGCCAAGACGGGCATGCCCGGCATGAAGCGCGATTGCGGCGGAGCGGCGGCCATTCTGGGCGCCTTTTACGCAGCCGTTCAGTGCGGATTCAAGGAAAACCTGCATGCCGTCTTCTGCCTGGCCGAGAATTCTGTGGGCCCAAATGCAACGCGGTGGGTTTTTAAATCTAGATACATCTAAAAAAACTATTTAAACTAATTTATTTAATTATTTTTATACAGCCCCGATGACATTCACACTCTCTACTCGGGCCGTACAGTGGAGATCAACAACACGGATGCCGAGGGCCGCTTGGTGCTCGCCGATGGCGTTTGCTTTGCCAACAAAGATCTGAAGGCCAACATCATTCTCGACATGGCTACATTGACTGGAGCTCAGGTGAGAGATACTATTAACATTTTACAGTTCCCCTCTTTCGATAAGAACAATACTATCAACACGTGATTTGTGAGGAAATTCCCTGTTTAATAAGCTTAATCAATTCAATTCTTGCTTCGGAACTTCGCGATTACATTTTAAACAGAAATACTTGATTTTATTAGGTCGATTTTCTAAGTATCTATAAGAATGGAAGAATAGAATCTAGCAGGATCTTTAAAGAATAATTGTATTTAATTATACAGATAAGTTACTGTATAATTTAATACAATTATTTTTATATTTATTATAGGAGTCAGCTTTATCTACTGACCGATTTTTTCTTCACGAAAGTCCAATTATTTAGCAACTTCCTTTCTATCCTTTTAATCGCATTAAAGGCTACAATTCAGCAGATTGAATGCACATTTCCGCCACTAATGCAGCCAGCAAATTATTTTGCCGCTGTCCAAGGTAATTTCGGTTTCGAGAGATCTTTGCGCCAGGTAACCGAAACGGTTGGCCAGGTGGTTGGTGGGTTTGGGATTGGGATGGCCTTGGATGTACTGCGAGTACAGTGCCTTGTTATGCGAGAATTTATGCCACGCTTTATAAAAGTCACGAGGTTAATTGGAAAAATAAATTGCAAATTTGGTTTTCGCTGGCAACTTGGAGGAATAGCAGCGGCAGCATTGGCAGACCAACAACAGCAAAGGATTCGTCGTTTGTGGTCGCTTTTGGGTTGCAACGGGGAGTGTGCCAGTTGGGCGGTGGGCGGTGGGGTTTTTCCATTTCCACTGCAGCGAGAAAGGGAGGGAAAACGATGGAGCAACTGAGTAGCTGCTGCGATGGCGCACAATTACCATAAATCTTGACTGCAATTTGCTTAAAATATGATGCCAATTTACGTTATTTGTGGTTCGATGGGAAATAAATCGAAACTGGTCAGGCGGGGGGCGTGGCATCCAGGCTTTTCATCCTTTTTTCCCTCTCTCTCTCCCAAAAAGCTGCATTGTTCACAGGGAAATTCCTTGGTTACCCAGCCTAAAAACGGTCAACACAATCTACTACGCTCTTCTAAAAATTTCTACATTTTGCCATTTTGTTCAGAGTTTTCGTTTTTGGCGCTTGTTGTGCTTAATTTCATTACACCCAGACACACACCTAGACGGGATGCAATAATATTAATTGCCGGCATTGGGGCAAACTGCCACTGCAAGAACAAAAAGCAGGCAACCAACACTTTTTCGCTTTTACATTTTATGTTCCTGCTGCTTGTTACACCTTTTGCAGTTGTTTTCTGCTCTGTGCGGCGGCTATTGAAGCACTGAGAAAAAATGTGGCAATCTCGTAGAATCAGGAATATAAAAAAAACATCATTCAATGAAAACCTTGTCAAATTATGAATGAATGAATTATAATTAATTATATTATATGAATAAGGTTAAAAAATCCTTAACAAAGCATTACCTAAATATTTCCGTTCTTAAATATAAAGAATTATTAAAGTAATGTAATGGTACAAAATGTATTTAAATTTTCTTCAGAATTTTTAAAAAATATCTATAATATATTTAATTTTAGAAAATTGTTATTATATGTCAGAGAAATATTATTATCCTTTGGGACTTCAATAGGTTTATATAGAATTTATTAATTTCAAGGGAGAGCCATTTTGCAATCAACAGTAATACATAGAGATCGCGACAATTAAGACCCTTAGATATTTTTTCTTATACAAGCTAGTTTATATTTTTCTCAAAGTGTACTGCTGCTGCTGTTGCTTTCGGCACTGCTGTTGGTGCTTTTGTTGCTGCTCCTGGTGCTGCTGCTGCTGCCTTCATTTGTCCAGCTGCAGTTGAACACGCGCCACGGAGTCCTTGCCTGTTGTTTGGGTGTTGCTCGTGCTAAATAACCTTGCACCTTTTTATTGCCAGTCGCGTCGGAAGCTCGCAATTTTCGTGCACCCCCCGCTCAACACCTCAGCCCCCTTGTCTTTCGCCTAACATTGTTAGTTGCTGTGCAGTTTTATTGCTGGCATTTTGTTGATTGTTGCTTGTTTTCTATCAAACCCTCCCCAGTGAGTGCGAAACCCATTCTTAAATATATGTCTGCCTGGTAGCGGGTCCTTGAATATTTCATTTGCGATTTCTCACACACACTATATATCCTATATATCTCTTTATTCTCGTTCCAGGGCGTTGCAACAGGCAAATACCATGGTGCCGTATTGACAAACTCGGAGACATGGGAGGCAAAATCGCTGCAGGCCGGACGCAAATCCGGCGATTTATTGGCGTCCATAATTTATTGCCCCGAATTGCATTTCGCCGAATTCTCTTCGGCCATTGCTGATATGAAAAACTCGGTGGCGGTAAGTACTTTTCTTCCACCATTAAAAAGAGCTATGAAAACTTTATCCTGCCTTCAATACACAAAAACGTATAAAGGCGCTTCAAGACATTGGAATTTATTAATTTTAATTTTCAGCACTGAGTATGTGGGAAAATATTCATTAGTAGGCCGTGTTTTTTTTTTGGTTTTGTAATCGCAGTTAATTGTGGTGAAAGTAAGTTGGATTTTTTTGATAGAGAAATATTTTTATAACTTATTTCTGGACTACATTTTTAATTTACATAAAAAATGGGCCAATCCTAAAAAGGTCAATTATAATTTAATAATAACCAATAGTATTTTCGATCATTTTGTTCGAATTTTATGAACAGAATCCTCAACTTCCATACATATTTTAGTTTTTATAAAGTTTAAGTCCAATTTAGCTGGCGCCCTTTTTCGAACCATCATGATATGAGTTTAAAAGCTTTTTTCCTGTCCATTCTCAATCGAACTATCTGCTGCTGCCATCTCATCCTCGTCACTCCAGCGACTTCTTGAATCCTTCTCTCGGCATTTCTTAGATTAACGGAGCTCTCCCCCTTAAATCAATCCCCAAAAGTACCTTAATTTATGCATTATCGAAGACACCCGTGCTGCGAACTTTTCCGGCCGCCCGCATTCGATAGAGAGCGAGTGACTTTGAGAAACTTTTAATCAAGTTTCGGTGTAACTTTATTCATTTGTTTTCAATTCATTTTCATTTTGCGTTTCCCCGCACATATCCATCCCATCCTCTTGCACTCTCCAGAGATATTTTACACACATTTTTAATTAACTTTATCGCTTGCACTCAATGTTGTTCTTTTGTCTTACACTCGACCGCACCGTTGCGGAAAAATGATGAACGTCATGTTTGGTTTAAAGATTGATTAGTATTACTCTGATTTATGCCATACACACACACCGCACTCCTCGTCTACGACCCATGTGGCATTCGCATGTATCAAAAACTTTGGCGTTCAATCTACGCCACCAGCCACTTTTGCAGCCATTAGAAAGGCCAGCCGGAGGAGGGGAGGTTGTCCTGGGATGGCACTAGGTGAGCCATAAACCCATCTCTGGGCGCTGGCCACCGGAGCGAGGTGCGTCCCAGCCCCGGGCTCTCTTCCTCGATTCGGTTCAGTTTGGTTCGGTTCCAGTTCCTGCCACAACAGCCAACCAAATCGAGTTACCTTATTGTACGTCGCAAGCGCCTCGGATCAATGGTCATTCATCATTGTCACGCCGTGGGCTGTGGGCGGTGGGTGTAGTGGGTGGATGGAGTTTGGATTGCCGAAGAGAGGTGCCGGGATAGGGCGGGACTGACTGGCTGGTGCGTAGATGCCGGGCAGGTCAAGTGGCGTGGCAATTTTGGCTACCTGCCAATCGCCCACCCTGCAACCTCTCGATAAATACACCTTGCGAAAACCAAACCATCTAAAGTAAAGTAGAAATATAACACCCTTTAATCATATAAATTTTAAAATTAATAATAAAGATATGGATTTGCTCAAAAACGAATTAAAAACTTTATTATAAATATACCATTTAATAGGAACTCCATAATTCAAAATTAAACCATCTAAAATAAATATTTTTCCGTAAAATATAACACTTTTTTATCATATAAATTAAAACAAATTATTTACAGTTAATATTTAAAGGAAGCCCTATACATATGTCAATTGAATAATTTGTATTTTAATTATTTCAGAAATATTATTTCTTGTAGGTATATTTTTTATAACTCTATACCATTTTAGAAAGTGACAATCCTTGGCATTTTTTATTAACTGAAAATATTTATTTCTTTATAAATTAGATTAACCCATGAAATATTAGTAATATATAACTTAATAGTTCCTAAAGTTTATTTTACAATTTTTAATTATAATTTATTCCCTCTGTGTCGTTTTTGGAAGTTGCCTGTTTGATTTTTCGTCAGTCTGCCCTATCTCGTCGTTCGAAAAAAAAAATGGGAATCAAGTCAAAATATCACACCATTGCAGGTTGGCCATGCCACACACACAACAACCTCTACACACCGCACCTCTCCGGCCCCTTAACCCCTTGACGCCCCTGCTGCAGTTGATGTGACAGCGCCGCGCACTTTGTCAATGTTGTCTGTGATAAAGTGTTTTAAATTCCAAATGCATTCAACGTTAAATGCGAAAAAGGTGAAATACCTGCCCACCCATCGGCCATTACTACCCATCACCGTCGCATTTTTTTCTGGCTCTGAGGCAAATTCCCACGCGCTGTGTTTAAATTACATGAGCTAGCTTTTTGCTCCCCCCATTCACCTCCCACCACCTACCTACCTGTATTTTTTGTCTTTCGGGTGTCTTTTCCCTTCAGTTTGCCACTAAATGGAGGGATTATGAGTGTTGTTAGCGGTCGCCAGGGCGCTTTGTTGGCCGCTGGCTTTGGCTTTCGTTCTGCGGCCCCATTCAGCTCATTTTGGCAAGCACGAGCAGGGGGTGGTGTCCCCAAGCCAGGTGATGATCCCCATTCCCATGTCTGGTCCTTAAATAACCGATTCCCATTTGTTTCACGCCCTTTTTCCAGTTGTGATCCCCTGGCGCGTGGTGATATCTGCGGCTGTTGGCTGTCAGGGGCCGATGTCCTCGATTACATGCTGCGTATTCGTGAATTAAGCGAAACCATTTAAGCCGATAATTAGGAGCTTCTCTTTTTTGGGTCCGAGCGGCAGAAATCGATGATGGGGATTCGGTTATGTCCGTGGTTTCGCTTTGTCAAATTGAAAATCATTTCAGCTTTCGTTTTTGATAATTTCAGTAAATAACTTAGAATTTGATAAACAAAGCAAAAACTGAATTCAATAAAAACGTTAATTATAAACTTCACTAATTAAATATAAAATATTTTATTATTTATATTTTTACTTCAAAATCCATGTCATTATTTATAAAATATTTTTCAATCTATTTTATTTAAATTTTAGATAATGAGCAGAATAATTGCTCAATATATCGGGTATTCCTTTAAATTGTTCTTTAAAATATTATATTAACGATAAGAATAGGTAGTAAAAAACTGTATAAAAATGGGGAACAATTACTAAAAGCACTTCATTAAATTTCCATGAACGTGAGCGAAGGAAATATCAAGTGCGTCAGCAGCTGCTCATTAAATTTCAATATTCCGGGAATTACTTTTCACTCGCCCTTAACCTTTAGGCCTTTTGCTTTTTAAAACAAAATTTCCCTCTTCCAGGCCACTAAGCAGAAGCAAACAAAAAGTGAGGAAAATAAAAATAATATTATCCCGAATTTCGACAACTTTATGACTGCGCGAGACTGTCCGACCTAGAAACCATCCATCCATCCATCCAACCATTGAACTGGCTTCTTCCGAGTAAATCGGACCTTCAGCCCTCTTTTGTCTGCGGCTTTCTTTTCTGTTTAGTATCTATGGGGGTGGTGGGATGATTCTCCACTGTACTGTGTCATAAGTTAAACATAAGCAACACGGCGGCGGGACAATAAAATTTGCTTAAACATTTCCAATTGTTTCTCAATTTCCCGGCGACGACGCAAAGGAATCTAAGTCGAAAGTTATTCGACGTTTTATGACTGTGAAATTTTCCCATTGTTGGTAATTGATTTTTATGTTAAATCGTAAAAAGCTGTTTCCCGTTTCCTGGGAAGAGAAGGGGCATGAATATTAGATAAACCCATTCCGCGGCAGCAACGTGTTGCAGTCTCTTGCTTTTGCCTTTGCTTTTGCCGCACACGCGGCGTATGCGTAATTGTTTTTGTTTTCGACTCCCCAAACCTCCCGACTCTTCGGTTCATTTTTATTGGGCGTCGACATTTTAAATTCAATTGTACGGCGACTTTTTACGTGGTTTAATGAATTAAATTGAACTTTTTATGTGGCAAAAGTTTTTTTACGGCCCGACCTCCAGGCGCCGAGTATTTCATCGTTGTTGCGGTTATGCTTAGCCGGGGTTAAGTTTTTTGATTAAAGCCAGCCGCAGCAGTTTATAAATAATGCCCAAGCTCAGTGGTTTAAATGCAGATTTCACCAGGGAGGTCGCCATGGTTTTCGAAGGGGGTGTTGGTGGGGTGGAAAGTCACGTAATTTGCGAAATGATCCCCATTTCCGCTGCCTACTTGAAGGGGCGGCGACTTTGTTAACACAAATCTTTCCGCTTGTTATTCCTTGGTTTCCGTTTAACTTTCGCTGCCGCCAGAGATGCCCACACAATATTTTAAAAACTTACAAAAAATAAATAAGAAATAATAACTATAAAAAATAAAATCTATTTAAACACTAAAAGGGTTACAAAATAATATTATATTTTTAAAAAATTAAAAGTCGAATGGGCATCACCAGAGTTTCCTAATATTTTCCTTTTTCCTTTACTGAATCCTCTCTTTGTAAATATGTATATACATTTTTTTGCCCGCTCTCCCCTGCGGCAGCAAAGTTTTTAAAGTGCTGGCTGCGACATTGCGAAAATTGAATAAAAACTGTAGCCGCCTTCAGCGAAACCATTTGATGGCATCGATGGCAAATCCTTTTCAGTGCGCGCTTCGATTATTGAATGAATGCGTAATTGATACTCCCAACTGGCTGATGCCACGGGGCGTGAATCAGTCACCGATGTAATCTCTCGTTACCCCCGACAGACATGCTATATATGCAGTTATCGCAGATTGAATATCACTAACGGCAGCTTAAATGTGAGACAATGTCGCCGGCTGGCTAATTTCAATTCAAGTTAATCGCAAATGAATCGCATCATCGCAAATGCGGATGTTTTGGGCTACGGGGCTGCGGATGTGGATGGTGTTAGTCGGGGATATATCGGCGGGGTATATGCCACAGGGTGGTCCTCGAACGGTCACGTTCCAAACCGCAATTAGTCGGCGACCCATTGTCAAACTCTGGGGGAGATTTTGGGTTTGGGGCGTGGGTGGCTAGCTGGGTGATTTGACGTTGCTTCGTTATTTACAAAAGGCCAAGAGAGATACGAAATACTCACATCAACGGGACGGGGCCCCACACACACATACACAATCAGGACCGGGCCTAATGCAATCAATGTTAATGACATTATGTTGACAAATGTTTGCCATTATTGATGAAAGGCCGACCCGATTCGACTCGATTCAGAATACATGTGCGTGAGCTCTCTGATCAGACTCGACAAACGTTAAACATTTAATTAGCGCCACAGTTACATCGAGACCTGGTTGACCTTTCATTTTTGATAGCTACCCCAATTCGGTGGTTTTGTTCTGGTAACAACTATAAAAAAGAGATTCTTAAGATTTATTACTGGATATTTTATTATCTAATCAAATTAAATTATATTAAAATATTATACACAACATTTTGTAAAGAGGTAAATAAATTAAATAAATATATAATATAAACATTTAATATATATAAATCTATTAATATGTTTATTTACTTGTTTATTTATTTTATTTTATATTTTATTATAATTAATATTATTATATTTTATATGAATATCCTTGAAGCAAATATAATCAAATTTGCAAATCATTCAGATTGGTGTTTATCTCCGACCTCTAGAATACTATTATCCTTTGCTCTGCCTTAAACTGCAACAGCAACTCTGTGGCTCAACACTTCCGTTCGCCTGCCACTAAATTGGTTCATTGGGAAACATTGCATTTGGAATGTTTTGGTAGCACACACACCCACATGCTCCATGCTTCCATCTCCCATCGCCAGGCTAATCAAACCAAAGTGGAGTAGCCAAGACATGCCGGTTTTTGTGTACTATCGGCCAGAGAAACGTCAGCCGCAAGTTTCATAACAAAAGCTGGTTATTAGCTGCAAAACCGCCAAAAACAGTAGCGGCACTGCTAGGAGGAGAAATGGAGTTTCGTCAGCAGCAGCAGGAACAACAGATACTGGAACAATTGCTGCACCGAAAGAAATAAACCAATATCAAAGATAAAAGTATTAAAAATATAGAGAAGGATTTTTTTACCAGAGAATGTTTTTAGGGATTGCCAGGAAAATAATAGATCATTCTACAAAAATGGAACACGTTTTTTTTTTAAATTTCTGACTGATCATTAATCTATTTCTACAATTTTTGAAGGGTGAAATGGATAATTATGGTAATTATAGTAGATAATGGATAGTTCTTTGTAGAAAATATAATTTAGAGTTCCGCAGATTTGGTTTTTAATTTTTCAATCATTTCTCCAAGTGTAAGAGGAAAAACGCAGGCAGTCTACAGTCTTCAGTTTTCAGATTTCATTCTTCAAGTCTGGTTCGGGGGGTGTGTGTGTTCTGGGCTCTGTTGCTTCAATGGACTTTTGACTTCCGCTGCTCGACGGACGATGTTTGCACGTCCCCAACGAATGTGAGTGTGTGTGTGTGATTTTCATCTTGAGAAGGAACTGAGCGCGTTGTCATGTAATTTTCGCAGAACTGCAGCCCCAAGTCCATAGTCCCATAGTCCCATAGTCGTCCTGTCCGCTCGATTCCGTGGCTCCTGCTGCTGAAGTCTGCCAGTTAACTCCTTTTTTTGGCCAACTGTCAGCAGAGTGTTCGCATATGTGCGTTGGTTCCTCCTTTATTTGGCTGGTCGTGCAAAGTGTACTTTATGTTTGGCATTTAAGCGCTGCAATTTCCGCTCAAGTTAGTAGAGCGACTGCTTCCGCTACGCAGCTGCCAGTGCATGGCATATAATTTAGGCATTAGCACACCCAGACTTGCCACTGGCGAGGTGCGTTTAAAAGGTATTTGAAAGGGAAACCCAAGGAATGGGATAAATGTAAAATTTTTTATATAATTGGGAAAACATGCTTTCGGAAATGTCTAATAAAATGCTCTCCAGCTTAAACTTGTATTTTAAATATTTAATAAGAGAATTCTTAGTAGGAAAGTGACGGTTAATGTAAGAAAAATTTTTTCTATAAACATTTTTTCAATTCCATAAATGCAAACCAACTCTTTGACCAAAATATAAATTTATTGTATTTAATTACCAAAAAAAAAGAACATTATATACTTTTTAAGCCACCCTCGTTTGTTCATCTATCTCTATAAATATATTTTCTTGTTGCGCTGCACCACAGGACGCTTTTTTAATAAAGCGACGCCAAGTTTTGCTTGTTGCATGCAGCGCAGCACATCCACAAAATGCTTCCCATATACTCGTATATGCGTATGTGTCACCATGTCTAACTGAAATTTCCCTTCCGCTTGCAGGATCGACAGAACGCGCAATCCTCCTGCGCCGGCCTCTTCATAGCCGCCCATCTGGGCTTCGACTATCCCGGCATCTGGATGCACGTCGATATGGCCACGCCCGTTCATTGTGTAAGTGATTCGATCCAGCTGCAATCCGCTTTATTTCCCAGCGTATTTAATATGATTTCTGTTCTTTGCTTTTCTGTTTCAGGGGGAGCGTGCCACTGGCTATGGCGTTGCCCTGCTGCTGACCCTCTTCGGTGGCCACACGGACTCCAAGCTGCTGCAATCCATCGCCCCCACGGACGAGGAGCCGCCCTCGAAGCGCCTGTGCCGCGATTAACTGAGCCTGCCTTCTCCTGTGCCATGTGCCTGACCGATTAATATGCATTTCAATCATTTTATTTGTCCAATTGTGCTCCTGAAGCGCTAGCCGCCACATTGTGTAGCCGACAGGCACTAAAAAAGCCATTAAATTTTAGAAATACACGAAGTATGAAATTAAATTGGTTGTTTTGTTTTTGGATATTTATATTTAAGATAGAAAAACATTTTATTCAACCTTTTTTAGACCATTTTAGCATCCTTATACTAATAAAATTGTGTAAAATGTATAGACATTTTTAATAAAATTAAATAAATTGAATATAAATGGGCCTAACATTTTTTAGCCAACAAAAAACTCCTGTAATAAAAAAAAAGAAAATTTAAAATATTATTTTTTAAATCTATTTAAACCTTTTCAATTTTATTAAGAAGGTGTAAAATTTACATTAAAATTGAAGAGCAAAAAGAAGAGTAAAAAGTTTGATTCCCAACTTGAATCTAAACCCGTTTAATACAGTATTGTTTTTAAGCCAATTTAATTATCAGTTTGTGTAGTTAACATGCTGAAGAGTACGCCCCCATGTCCACGTGTAGTTCGCCTGCTTTGTCTTTGTCTGTCATTTCGTCCTTTGGCTGTTCAATTAAGCGACACTCAGGCTGCTTCTGTGTCTGTGTGTCGTTGCCTCGTTGCCTGGCGCCCGACATCTAAGTGGATTCATCAGCCGCGGCATGGCCATCGCCATCGCCATTCTCATCATCGTCAGCGTGATCATCACCAGGGCTTGCATTCTCTTTGCCGTCAGCGCAATTGTGTCGGTGGCAACCATTCCATTCCATTTCGGTCTCCATCTCCATACCATTCCACTCCCGCCGACAATACAAATTAAATTGCAACATCATTGTGCCACGTCGTCACCGTCAGCGTTGCAATCCCATAGCATCGCATCGCATCGCTGCCTGCCGTCTTTGTTGCCTACTTTGGTGCGCTCCAGAGTTTTACGCTCGCGAGTTTGTCAGCTGTCAGAGAAAGGGGGGTTGGGAGGAGGGCCACGCCCACCCATGGCAACGCCCTCCAACTAATGCCAATGCCGTGCACTTTTATTTGCTGAATTACCCGAACATCCGCCCGCCTCCATTTTTATTTGCTTTGTTATTCCATTTGCTTTTTGGAGGGTGAAGGCGCTCGGCGTCCCTTTTCGCTTTTATTGTTTAATTAGCTTGAAATGCGTTTATTTTCATTCTTAAGTGATGTAAACAACGCGTCAGGTGAGGGCGCATATATATATATATATATATATTCTGCAGGTGATTTGTTAAATCCTAGTAATTCTGCCACCTTTCTCCCCTCTGCTATCATTCGCCCTGCATTTTCCTTAAGCCAGCTATTGCACTTGGCACATGCTGCAAATGCAGTTAACATTCCGTAGTGGATTTCGAGTGTATTTACCCCTTTTCCATGGTGAACTCTGGGGTCTTATCCTGCTCAACGGATCGGGTGAAGTCGTCTTTCAGGCAAGTGGCACTATCGAGAGCATCCAATTGCGCTTTAAGCGGTGATTTAGGGTTCAGATACGTTTTATTTGTATAAAATGCTGGGTCAATAGTCGTCCTAATTGGTCTGTGTAAAAGGGAAAAAGATATTAGACGGCCTGAGAAGAAATAAAGGCTGCTTTGGCTTTAGTTCCGGAAAATAATATCCCAAGGGAAAAACATTTTTAAAATATTGTCTTTAAGTTTCTTTGAATTTTGTTTTCATTTCGTAGAAATGCATTCCTTTCACAAATTATAAAAAATAAAAAAATTGATAAGGTATAGAAAAAAACTTAAATTACTAATGTAACTACATATTTTAAAACACACTTGATACATCATTTACACAAAATCAGCCGCAAATATTTTTAGGCAGAAATAATTTGCATAATTCAATTACAAAACATAAAGTGCTGGCAGCTTAGCAGGTAGGATTATTTGCGCTTTGCACACAACCCAAATTATAACAGCTTTTTATGAAATTTCAGAGCATAAATAAATGGTATTTGACATATGTTAGAAATGCAAACAGGATGCATTTTTTTGGTGTGAATTTCTATATTTAATATTTAAAATAATTCAGTTCTTTAATAGTTAGTAACCAGTTACTCTCGTACCTCTAAATTGTTAAACAAAACCACCATAGTAACAGAGACATCAGTTGCATGGGAATTACAAACAGCCATTAAATTGGATTGTTGACTGCATACATATCACTCATACGACGCGTTGGCGGCAAGCGATCGACCTCGACCCCATTGAGATTGAACCCTAAACGGCTTTGCAGCGGGGCCCAAGGCAACTGCTCGACGGACGGCGCAGCAGACACCATCTACCACTCCCTGGACATCGGCCATAAATATCTTCACACTGCCACTTGGACAACAGACTTTAAATGCACTTCAAAAAATCATTTAAGGATTTGATTTTTATTGGTAAAATTCTATCAATAGAAAAAAGTTTATGTGTAAATTATTCGATATTAAAATGTACTTTTATTTAAACATCTTTCCCAAAATTAATTGAATTTTTACTAAAAACCAAATAGTTCCTAAGAAAATGGTTATTTTTGTTTCCAGTGCAACATCGTTCATTGTCCAGTGTCCTTCGCAGGATGCCTCTGCAGCAGCAGTTGACTTTTGCCGCATTGGCGCTTGGCCCCCGGAGCATTTGGCCGGGTTTTTTATGCTCACAACTCAATTTGAAGCCAACTGGCCGAAGTGCGTGCCCGGGAACACAAGAGGAGCCCAAGAGGAACCGAGCACAAGGAGCCGGCAGAAGGAACAAAAGCAATATTAGAATTTGTTGCCGAGCCGTGCGGCTTTTGTGGCACTTCTCATTGTTTTTCCCACAGCATCCTTGTTGCTCTCCTTGTTGTTGCTGGCCGACAGCACGACAGCTTAACCCCAGCACAGCGTTTAAGCTGCACAAGTTTCGAAACAAATCCCGCCCAGATCCATAATTCTTTTCCGCACCTAAAGTGACAGAGATCTCAGCTTAGTCTACCGTTGCGTTGCCATCGCCGTTGCCTTTGCCGTCTTAATGTTTAATTTTTATGCCAGCCCCTGAATTATGCATGGCGCCAGAGAGCCACTGAGATTTGCCCCGAATTCCCACTTCTTGATATGAAAAATAGATAATAATTTTAGCCGGAACGGGGGGAAATCACAGATAAATAATAGACAACGATGAGAGACACATAACAAATTGTCAATTTATAAAGTGAAAGTTTTTGGCCGGCTAATGGATGCCAAAAGTTTAATAAATAATAAATTAACCGAATACTTTTGTGGCCATACTCGAAAAACAAAGCGAAATGAGCTGAAAAAAAATGCTGAAATGATTCTCTGCGGAGCAAGAGCTGTCATAAAAAAATAAATAGAAGGCCGGAAAACGTGAAAGGGCCTAAAGAAAACCGCAGAGCAGGTGGCAGCGGGGGGTGGTGCTGATTTTCCTCTGGCGGCCATGGGGCAATAGCTTAAAATTAGCCATAAGCAAAATTACTGTAAAATGGTTTAAATGAGTGTAAAGGCAGAGGAATATAATAAGCCCAAGAGAAGCGCATAATAAAAAGGCCAGCGCCGAGTGGTCCGCGAAACAAAGGTCGCGATGGGTGGGTGCCACGCTGCCACATAGCCACCCACCTCCCGTGGGGCGTGCTGTTAAATGAAGAATAAAGCAACAAATACAAATGCGAAATGTGCCTTGCAGCCCGCCTATAAACAGTTATCAAAAAATAATAGCAGCCATACAATATTTAATTTGATTAAAAATGGGTTTTATTAAACTTGGAAGGTACTTAACATACATGTAGTTAATTTTCTTTAATATTTTTAGGAACCTATTTATTACAACATGTATGTATTTTGAGATTTTAGGACAGGAAAAATAAAGAAATTTTATGAATCAATAAAGCTTATTAAATATTTAAAATAAATCTTTTTATATAAGATATTACTCTGATAGTAGCATTTTATTTACCGCATAAAAATTTAAAATTTCAACACCACAAGTATTTTTAATTTCAATAATAATAATTTTATTTTTAATACAGCAAAGTTCTATTATTTTCGCCGCCATTGTACTATATTGTATGTGTTGGAGTCTGATGGCAAACATATTTTATGAGTTTTATTGTTGCTGCTGCTTTTTCTTGTCTCCTGGCGAGGCTGATAATAAAACTTGGCCGCTGGCAGGCAGCGCAGCCCGCTGGGAGCATAATCGAGCCTTTAACATTGGTCCTGGGTGTTGGTACATGTAGCTGTGTGGGTGCCAGACGGGTAGAGTGTGTGTGAGAACGCAGCTTGATTTCATGGTAAAAAAGGCAAGAAATAATATACTAGAGCCCTGTTTCTACGAATTTTACACACACTTTTAAATTAAATATTTTTTTTTTTAATTTAAGTTTTATTTTAACTCCAAGTTTTATTTATTTCTTCACATACAAATTGAAAGTTCAAATTGTAGTCGTTAGATAAATATTCAAATATATTTACTTAGCTAAAAAAGAAAATTAAAACTAAAATATTTTTAAAAAGTTTGCAAATAAGTCGCCCCACGGATCTCTCCTCCAACAAATGGTCAAGTGGACATATCTGAATGCATCGGTGAGGTGCAAGCTTATGCTTTTTTCACCTTTTGCACATCTCTTGTTCCCGTTCTTGTTGTAACCAAATTGAAAATGCAGGAGTGCAACTGCAGATGCTGCTGAAAGATGCTAGCCCGAAGGACTCTACTTAAACAGCCAACGGGAGTTTGACAAGCCTCATTAAGGATACATCGACAGTGTGCAGTAATAGGGATTGTTATAAAATAATGCTTTTGCCAATTCAGCTCCCTTGTCACTTCAAGTACAGATAATATCGTGCACTTATGCTGTTTAATATGCTTTTTGCTCACAAATTTTTTTGCGAACAGGTTCAGGGGATAAAATGCTTCAGGGCGTGGAAAAAAGGACCTGCAACAGGATTGACAACAGCATGAGCATATCAAATTGCTTTCGGGCAGCTAATAAAAAGCTTGTAATCAAGTGGGACGGCAGTGGAGATGGTGGAGTAGAAAACTTTTAGCTGCAGTCAACTCACAAACTTGGACATGTCAGGCAAAAAATGCGAGTAAAATAAAATAAAAAATAAAAATAAAAGTAAAGAGGGGAAATATGCCACTAGGATATGCATGAGCAGCAGCTTATGCACAGCATAGCTCATGAGTTTTGCATGGAGTTGTGCAGTTGATAGTTTGTTGCAGGACGAGATGGAAAAGTATTTGGAAAAGGAGCCGAGCAGGCGGCTCCTTGCACTTATCCGGGTGCACAAAGCAGCTAAGCAAAACACTCGTTGCAGCCAACTTAAGGCTAATTTAAGTGACTGAATCTGTATCTATTCGAGTGAGTGCGTGTCGCTCACTCGCTCTTCCTCCAGGACCAACCTACCAACCCCCAGCCAGGACTCTCCAAGGAGCCGCCTCGACTTTTACCTGGCCCAAAGTGTCCCGGGTTAAGCTGCTCGCCTGCCTTTTCCGTTCAGCTTGCCATCATCAATGAAAATGCTCGTAAATTATGCAAGCCTAGGAAAATAAGCTGCACTCAAGTGCGTTTCCTTCGCCCGCCTTTAGAGTCTTCGTCCTCCAGTTTCCGAACACTCAACTGTTCTTTGCCAGTACTTCGGGAGGGCTGAACGGGGCGTATGCGTGATTTTCAATTATATTACAAAATGGCCACGCAACAGCACCGATCAATATATCTTAGTACATTCTCTTCATTTTTAATCCCCTGTGAAAGTTGGTATTTCTCGAAAGCAGCGTATAATAATAATGGTAAGACACCATTTTTCATTTCACTTTTATATCAAGGCGTTGTGGGAACTGTTATTAGTAAAAGCCTGATTGAAGCAATTAAATCAAATTCAAACTAAGGACAGCTCTAACGGGCCTAACAAAGTAATTTGCGCCACGTTTTTTGGTTTATCAAATATTTAGTAATTGTTGGGCTTGGAGTGTTTTGCCAATAAAATCCCACCTGCAAAACCGCCAAAGGGTTTCCTCGGAAAAGGGCAAATTAAATGACACAGTGTGGGAATCCACTCGGAAAAATATTATGCTAAACATAAAACTTTATCCTTTTTATTAAAGATGTGAAATGTGCTAACTTTTATAGTTCACAATTTTTTTTTGGTGACTTGAAATTTTTTTTAAAATTTTCTATTCATTTCTCTAAGCTAATTAAAAGTAAGTATATATTTTCTTCAGTGTTTTACATTTTCTATATAAGGACATTACTCCTTTTACTGTGTGGTCAAAGAAAACCAATAAAAACCGACATGAGTGTCAAGTTTATCAAAACAATACTAAATCCTAAGGAGATTCCCATCAAAAAGCCGGATAATGAGTATCCTAAATGCGAGGACTTCTTTAAACTGCCAGTGATGTTTTACCACACCATAGGCCTAGATCCCTACGATTCGTCGCGACCTGAAGATAAGCCGGGAATTATGTTCCACATTTACTTCCTCTGTCACATGATCAATATGCTGATGGTGGTGTTTGTAATTATATCTTTTCGGAACAAGGAGAATTTCCTGGTGTGCTGCATTCAGATGGGCTGCATTGGGTTTATCTGCGCGGCCGTTGGCAAGGTTGTCTCGGTGATTTCTCAGAAGCGCAAGATGACGAACCTGGTAAAGGAGCTTGAGTCCATTTTTCCACGACCGATGGAAAAGGAGCACGAGGAGTATGATGTAAAAAAATATTTGAAAATCAGCAACCTCTATGGCAAGTCATTCGGAAGTGTGTACACGATTTTGGTGGTGATCAACAGTATGTTCGCCCTCATCGAGTACATAATCTTATGGCTAATGCACTCTCCGAATGCCGAGCAATCGATGCCTTACGTTGAGTTTGCTCCCTGGGATTATCACGACGGATGGTGTTTTTTCTTGACCTACATGTCCCAGGCGATTGCGGGCTATACGGCCACCTGTGGCCACATCTCAGCAGATCTCATGATCTTTGCCGTGACCATGCAGGCCATCATGCACTTTGACCGCTTGTCACGAGCTCTCACGGAGTTTCAGTTCAGATCAGGTGATGTGGGAGGTGCTGACGAGGACCTAAGGCGACTACAGACTCTGATCGCCTATCACAACCGAATTCTTGGGTAATTGGGTTAACATACTATCCTGCTTATTTTACTACAATTTTTTATAGACTCACCGACGTGATAAATGTGGTATTCGGAATTCCACTTCTAATGAATTTCGTGGCCTGTTCCATGCTCGTCTGTTTTGTGGGTTTGCAGATGACCGTTAGCATTGGCCCCGAATACTTTGCCAAGCTTTTGGTGACTATTCCAGACTATTCCAGCCTTTTTCCCTTCACAGGCATTTTCTATTGCAGCGTGCCGAATAAAAAAATATTAGAAAGTCTATTTAATGACGAGTGTAATAATTTTTCGTCACAAATGTTGATATCAGAACTTTTGTATGTTGAAGGTGCGATCGTCACTAGTTTTTTACCTCGTTAAGAGGTGTTTTTATTTGATATCAGAAGTTTTTGTTTGTTTACATTTGCTCTCATAGGAGCTAATATATACATTTAAATTTAAATTGGTCAATCATAATTTGTAAGCCATTGTATTTAAACAAATTAAGTTAAAAAGGCGTTTAAGTATTTCAAAATACCTTTTAAACGAGGTATAGCACATGTCGGTACCTTTAGTAGTGTAGAACTTACAAACTAACGAAATTTAGCTATTTTTAGCTTTTTCCCGCTAAAGTAGCGGCTTTTTCCAAAAGTCGTAGAACAAAAGATTCCTATATGGAAGTCTTAAGTGCAAATTTACTGATTCCATGACCCTAAAATACAGTTCGGATACCCTCCTACAAAATTCAATACTCAGGGAGCGTTAATTGTTCGAGCTGGCAACAGTGGCTATTTTCGTATAAAAATAACTTTTAAACGTGACTTTTTACAGTAATGTGTTATATACCAAAATTTAAGGAATCTCAAGGGCTACACAGTTTAAGGTTTTAAAGAAAATCGTTAGAGCCGTTTTTGAGAAAAATAAAAAAAGCTAAAAAAAAAGGTTTAAAAAATTGTCTTTTGTTCATATTTTTTTAACTATTACATTTACACAAATTGCATATAGAAGGCGTTTATAGCATTTCAAAATACCTTTCAAACGAGATGCAGCACAAGTCTGTAGCTTTAGTAGTATAGAAGTTACGGCTTTCCAAATTTTAGCTATTTATAGCTGTTTTCCCGCTAAACTAGCGAGTTTTTCCAAAAGTGGTAGAAGAAAAGTTTTTTATATCGATGTGATGAACGTCATATCAAATTTTCAAAACTTAAAAAATCATTTGATTTTATTTCAAATCATTTGAATTGATTTGATTTGATTTGAATCATGATTTGATTGATTTGATTTGATTTGAATCATGATTTGAAATCAAATGAATCATGATTTGAAATCAAATGACTTGAAATCAAATCAATTCAAATCAAATCAAATCAATGATTCAATGATTTCAAATCATGATTCAAATCAAATCAATTCAATGATTTCAAATCATGATTCAAATCAAATCAAATTTGATTTTATTTCAAATCATTTGAATTGAATCAAATGATTTGAAATCAAATCAATTCAAATCAAATCAATGATTCAATGCTTTTAAATCATGATTCAAATCAAATCAATTCAATGATTTCAAATCATGATTCAAATCAAATTCAAATGATTTGAAATCAAATCAATTCAAATCAAATGCAATTGATTTGAATCATGATTTGAATTTGATTTTATTTGAATCATGATATGAAATTTGAAATTAATTTGAATCATGATTTGAAATCAAATTTGATTTGATTTGAATTATGATTTGAAATCATTGAATTGATTTGATTTGAATCATGATTTGAAATCAAATGAATCATGATTTGAAATCAAATGACTTGAAATCAAATCAATTCAAATCAAATCAAATCAATGATTCAATGATTTCAAATCATGATTCAAATCAAATCAATTCAATGATTTCAAATCATAATTCAAATCAAATCAAATTTGATTTCAAATCATGATTCAAATTAATTTCAAATTTCATATCATGATTCAAATAAAATCAAATTCAAATCATGATTCAAATCAATTGAATTTGATTTGAATTGATTTGATTTCAAATCATTTGATTTATTTGAATCATGATTCAAATCATTTGATTTTATTTCAAATCATTTGAATTTGAATTGAATCATGATTTGAAATCAAATGAATCAATCAAATCATGATTCATTTGATTTCAAATCATGATTCAAATAAAATCAAATTTAAATCATGATTCAAATCAATTGAATTTGATTTGAATTGATTTGATTTCAAATCATTTGATTGATTCATTTGATTTCAAATCATGATTCATGATTTTGAATCATGATTTGAAATCATTGAATCATGAATCAAATCAAATCAAATCAATTCAAATGATTTGAAATAAAATCAAATGATTTGAATCAGGATTCAAATTTGATTTCAAATCATGATTCAAATGAATCATGATTCAAATTTGATTTCAAATCATGATTCATATCAATTGAATTGATTCGATTTGAATTGATTTGATTTCAAATCATTTGATTGATTTGAATCATGATTTGAAATCAAATGAATCATGATTTAATTTTATTTCAAATCATTTGAATTTGATTTGAATCATGATTTGAAATCAAATGAATCAATCAAATCATGATTCATGTGATATCAAATCATTATCAATCATTATCAATCAATCAAATCATGATTCATTTGATTTCAAATCATGATTCAAATAAAATCAAATTCAAATCATGATTCAAATCAATTGCATTTGATTTGAATTGATTTGATTTCAAATCATTTGAATTTGATTTGAATCATGATTTGAAATCATTGAATTGATTTGATTTGAATCATGATTTAAAAGCATTGAATCATTGATTTGATTTGAATTGATTTGATTTCAAATCATTTGATTTCAAATCATTCATGATTCAAATCAATTCAAATGATTTGAAATAAAATCAATTCAAATCAAATTCAAATCATGATTCAAATCAATTGAATTTGATCAAATTCAAATTCATGATTCAAATCAATTGAATTTGATTTTATTTGGATCATGATTTGAAATCAAATGAATCATGATTTGATTGATTCATTTAATTTCAAATCATGATTCAAATCAAATTCAAATGATTTGAAATAAAATCAAATGATTTGAATCATGAATCAAATCAAATCAAATCAATTCAAATGATTTGAAATAAAATCAAATGATTTGAATCATGATTTAAAATTAAATCATTCAAATGAATCATGATTCAAATTTGATTTCAAATCATGATTCAAATCAATTGAATTGATTTGATTTGAATTGATTTGATTTCAAATCATTTGATTGATTTGAATCATGATTCAAATCATTTGATTTTATTTCAAATCATTTGAATTTGATTTGAATCATGATTTGAAATTAAATGAATCATGATTTGATTTTATTTCAAATCATTTGAATTTGATTTGAATCATGATTTGAATTGAATTCATGATTTTGAATCATGATTTGAAATCATTGAATCATGAATCAAATCAAATCAAATCAATTCAAATGATTTGAAATAAAATCAAATGATTTGAATCATGATTCAAATTTGATTTCAAATCATGATTCAAATGAATCATGATTCAAATTTGAATCAAATTCAATTCAAATTCAATTCAAATGATTTGAAATAAAATCAAATGATTTGAATCATGATTCAAATCAATTCAAATGATTTGAAATAAAATCATTTGATTGATTTGAATCATGATTTGAAATCAAATGATTTGAAATCAAATCAATTCAAATCAAATCAAATCAATGATTCAATGATTTCAAATCATGATTCAAATCAAATCAAATTTGATTTTATTTCAAATCATTTGAATTGAATCAAATGATTTGAAATCAAATCAATGATTCAATGATTTCAAATCATAATTCAAATCAAATCAAATTTGATTTCAAATCATGATTCAAATTAATTTCAAATTTCATATCATGATTCAAATAAAATCAAATTCAAATCATGATTCAAATCAATTGAATTTGATTTGAATTGATTTGATTTCAAATCATTTGATTTATTTGAATCATGATTCAAATCATTTGATTTTATTTCAAATCATTTGAATTTGATTTGAATCATGATTTGAAATCAAATGAATCAATCAAATCATGATTCATTTGATTTCAAATCATGATTCAAATAAAATCAAATTTAAATCATGATTCAAATCAATTGAATTTGATTTGAATTGATTTGATTTCAAATCATTTGATTGATTCATTTGATTTCAAATCATGATTCATGATTTTGAATCATGATTTGAAATCATTGAATCATGAATCAAATCAAATCAAATCAATTCAAATGATTTGAAATAAAATCAAATGATTTGAATCATGATTCAAATTTGATTTCAAATCATGATTCATATCAATTGAATTGATTCGATTTGAATTGATTTGATTTCAAATCATTTGATTGATTTGAATCATGATTTGAAATCAAATGAATCATGATTTAATTTTATTTCAAATCATTTGAATTTGATTTGAATCATGATTTGAAATCAAATGAATCAATCAAATCATGATTCATGTGATATCAAATCATTATCAATCATTATCAATCAATCAAATCATGATTCATTTGATTTCAAATCATGATTCAAATAAAATCAAATTCAAATCATGATTCAAATCAATTGCATTTGATTTGAATTGATTTGATTTCAAATCATTTGAATTTGATTTGAATCATGATTTGAAATCATTGAATTGATTTGATTTGAATCATGATTTAAAAGCATTGAATCATTGATTTGATTTGAATTGATTTGATTTCAAATCATTTGATTTCAAATCATTCATGATTCAAATCAATTCAAATGATTTGAAATAAAATCAATTCAAATCAAATTCAAATCATGATTCAAATCAATTGATTTTATTTGAATCATGATTTGAAATCAAATGAATCATGATTTGATTGATTCATTTAATTTCAAATCATGATTCAAATCAAATTCAAATGATTTGAAATAAAATCAAATGATTTGAATCATGAATCAAATCAA